TATTATTCCACAGCAAAGCACATCAGGAGAAAATGACCAGTAGGTAGAAACACAATTATTATTTGAACCAGGCTGGCTGATAGAAGAGAACTCTGAAATTTTTTTAATCTATTTCCTTTTCACTTTTCCCTTTCTTAGTAATTCTACTTGAAAAAATTACCCTCCTTCCTTCTTCATGCCCCCATCAATTCAGCAAACCATATCCTTAACCTCCTTTGCCAAAGGCTAATTCTACTCAAAAGCTAGCCCTCAGAATTAACAGCTATGTGCTCCTTTCTGGAAGCCATATAATTTGGTCTGACGAAGCCTGAATGAATTACCACGAGGGGCTGCCTGAGCACTGGCTCCGCAGCTCTTTGTCATCTCTGATCCCAGTTGTCAAGCCAAATTTTCTGCTCCATCTTAATTCTGCCACTTGCTACCCAAGAGGCTCTGTCCACATGCACAAGAAAGCCAGCTCAGAAAGCAGGCAAGCATAAAATTTATCTTAAAAGGGGGCACTGAGCTGTCAGACTTGGGCTAGCACTACATTGGCAAGGGTTACCTGCTTGGGTGGGACAAGCTATAAGCAACCAGGTGAAGAAGGGGTACACCTGAGCAAACAAACTGCACCCACAACTGGTACTTAGTTCTCAGCTGGTAGGGAACCAGGAAGCCCAGACCTTCAGTTTGGGACAGCTGTTGGCAAAGACTGAAGCACAGAGAGCCTCAGCTCACCATCAGTTTGAGGAATGGCCCAATGCGGAGGCTAGATAGGAACTCTTCTAAGTGCCACCTGTTAACACAAGGGGATGGTCTTGGTCACTGAGGTGGCCAGTAAGTGATATGTCCCAATGCACATCAGCGGATCTTTCCCCCAGTTGTTCCATAAACCTAAATGCTTGGCTTGCTGTAAGTCTTGTTTTATTTCTGCACCTAACAACATAGAGCTACAGAATATTCCCTTCTACAAGGACATGATCGCTGGTATGGATTTGGAGTGACTGAGCACCTTTGTTTTATCTTCCTAATATTTAAGAGGGTAAAAATAAGATGCCTGTGGGCATTTTCTGAAGGTTTCACTTTCTGTCTTTATGATTCTAGGATTTCAGACTGCATATTGCAACTAGCCTTTAAGAAACTACCATTTGTCGGGTGTTGGTGCCACAGCCAAGAAAAATATCCACAATTATCCAAAAGGCTATAAAATGCTCCTCCATTCTCCAATTGTTTATCTCTGTGAGGCCAGATTTTCTACCCATTCTTCAACAGACTGCAACAGACTGAAGGCCCAACCAGTTAAGAAAATCCAGCTATGACAGGAAAAACCAACAGTTCTAGACAATACCCCTCACCTTTTCTGCTTGTGGCCCCAAGGCAGAACGGAACAGCCATACCTTTTTGGGCCCAATGGTTCATTGCAATGGTGTGGGAGCACCCTTCTTCCATTGCTCAAATCAGGCTATTATTCCCCATCTTTAACAATAATTGCCCCTCAGTTTTGGATCATTTTCAAAATCCTAGCCCTATGATGAAAATTCTTTCGATTTTCTCTCTCAGTGACTGGACACCCTACCTAAACTTTCACACTCAGACACACACCCATATTCCTTGTCTTTCTGTTTTCTCCTTAGAACTTAGCACAAAACAAACTCTCTACTTATTTGTTCACTGCCTGACTGCCCTATTAGAACAAAAGCACCATGTGGGCAGGAATTTTAGTCTGTTTTGCTCACTGCTGCATCCCCAGCACCTATAACTGTGCCCGGCACAAAATAATTTGTTGGGTGAATGAATGAACAAGCCAGGAGTTCCTGGCCAATTCATATTCTGCAACTTGATCCTGCATTCGCCATTCATACAAAAGAAACCTCAAAGACCCCTCACCTATCAGGCCTCTATCCCCAGGTCAGTTCCAGAACCTTGAAATGCCATCTCCCATTGCCTCCTCCAGTCATCTGTTTAAATCTGGCTCTAATTCCCATCAAGTGCATATTACTGCTGCTCTGTCTGTCCCATCACCTCCATCACTGCTGTTGTTACATTGGTTCAGGCTGTCGACACCCCTTTCTGGGATTTACTGAAACAGTTCACTAATCTCCAGTCTCATACCCTTCCGCCTGACTGAACTAGAACTGAAAAGAATAAGCTTTCTAAAATTGCAAATCAGATCACCTAAGCCTCCTGCTTAAAAGCCTAACAGTGGCTCCCCCTCACCTATAGGATTGATTCCAAACTCCTTCCCATGTGAGGCACAGCCTCCCATATCCTAATGAACCACTTATAACTGCCCCACCCACCAAGAAACACACCCTAGGCCTTTGCCCCTGTTACTCCCACTGCACCAAGGTTCTTTCATCTACCATTGCCCCATCTCAATATCCACCTCAAGTACGTGCACATCCCTAAGACATCCCTGACTCTATGGTATTTGTAACTGTGAGCCTGCCAAGGTCAGGAACTGCCACTACTCCATCGGTGCATCCATAGTGCCAGGTGCATCGTAAGAGCACAATACAAATTTTTGAGGAGTGAATGTGCAGAAATACTGAATGTCCACCCTTCTACAAAAAAAAAGTCACAGATGAGTAGCTTTCTTTCACTGCCAGGCTAGTTCTGGAACCCCCAGTTTACTCTACAGACATTCATTTATACAGAGTCCTCTACTGGGTATTTTTAACTCCATTATCAGAAAAGGGCATGAGAGGTAAAGGCTAATGTCCAACATTGTATAGAGAAAATATGTACCACAAACCCTAACACAAGCTGAAAGAATTCTGCTATATGTAACCTTATGCCAGGTGTGAAAAGGGTCTTCTACAAATTATGCTATCATCTCAATTTAGCAAATTTGTACAATGTCAGAAGAATTGAACTGTGCAGTTTCTAAAAGGGTCAGGAAGTTGTATAGACATCCTCTACTCTACTACTGGAGTCCTGTCTACAAAGGTTTTCAAAATGAGCTAAATAAAGCAAAAATTATGGTCTCAGGGAACTTAAAGGAGAGAATATCATACAAAAAAAAATCACCGGTTCAGCTAAGCCTTCCACCTTTCCTACCTTCTAGCCAGTACTAAAACTTTTCCTTATAAATATACAGTGTTCACAAATGTAAAGGAAAAGTTAATTTACCAAATTTACACTACATAGGGAAAAAAAATTAACCCATTCTAGCATATTTTGGTCAGCATCTTTGAGATCCTTGATCTTAAATTGAAAATAAAATGCCCCATAAATTAACAAAAATGGGTATTGCCAAAGAGTGAGAGACTTGGCAACTTCCAGGCATACTTACTGATTGCATCTGTTTTTATTTTTGAAATTGAAGTAATATGCTGTTCAAAGTACCACTTACAATATTGCTATCATTGTCATACTTAATTTAATGTAGCACAGCCTGGCTATGTTCTCTGGAATCTGTCCCACAATCCCTGAGGACAGAGCCTGCAATACTCAGATCCTAAAGAGGCCAAAATGTTGAGCAGGGATTATATCTGCATCCCACTCCACTGGCACCTCAGACTCGAGAGCAGTTACCCTCCTCCGGCGAAAGACACTAGTCGAGGCACACTCTCTCCAGTGAGCTGTAAAGTGTAGTTTCTGACCTCATCAACGTAGCATCTAAAGCTTTTTAGGTAAAGGAATTATCAGGTGAAAATATTTTTCTACTACATCTATAAATTCTTCAATTACTAACAAAATTAATATAATGAAGAAAAATCAGGAGCAGAATAAGGCACCCTCACCAGATAGATATAAAATAAGTAAACAACACCAGAAACTATGATCACAAAGAAAGAAAGAAAATACTAATTGAGCATATAGGATTATGTCAGGCTGACAGCCTATCCAGGCTCTCAAACTGAACTACTTAACTATCCCTAATTTACACTATAACTTCTCCCATCTCTGATTTAAGCTGCTACTTCTCCCTCTGAGGATTTGATTTCCTGGAGCTTTTCACTGTGTAGTTATGCAATGTGTGGGCACCACAAAACACAATACAGCTTTACAAACTGAGGCTTTTAAAGATCAATATTATTTTCTCTACATACTTCCAAAATAGATGTTCCCCTCGGCGTGGAAGACTCAGTAAAACATTAAGGAGTGTAAAAAAAAAAAAAAAAAGAGGGATGTGTTAGTTATTTAGACGCCTTATGTTTGGTCCCACTTATTTACATATCACCTCCCAGACCTCAAAGATTTTTGTCCTATATGAAAATAAGAAGGACAAAGAAAAGAAGCCCAGTGAAACACCAAGAAGAGCAGCAAGGATCTTAAGACTGTGGCAAGTGACCAGACACAGATCTGAGGGGCTGGCGTAAAGGCATTTAGACACTGATCTGGGTGCACTTCCTCACTTTCCAATCACCTGGTAGCTTGAGAAATTCTATGTTCTAAAATGCTGCAGTCCATATGGTAAGACAAACACCGTGGTAAGAGGCACCATTAAATGAGAGGTGGAAATGCAAACATTTTTTGGTAAGAGACCTAGGCAAAGGCATTATGCAACTCCCTCTCATTCTCAAGAGTCCTGCAGGGCTGAGCCCAGTTCCTTATCCCAGCAAAGTGAGGCCTAGAGAGGAGAAAGGATTTACTCCGTACATTTCTGGAAAAAGACATAGAGAAATGTTTTGATGGAACTTTAAGGGCGACCAAATGAATGCAAAGGCAATTTCTTAAAGTGCTTCAAAGGTCTGCCTGCTGAAGGGCTCAAATCCCCTTACATCCATCAGACCTGTCCCAGAATTTCAGAATTACTGGCAGGGTCCACATTTTTCAAGTTCTCCTTCCTTCTGAAGGTCGCATCTAGGTCAGCACTGTCACAGTGAACAGATCTGTGATATTTGACTCACTGGAGAAAAGTGGCCCTGAGATGCCCCCATGGTAAGGTGTCCCAAGACAACTGATATGCCTCCAGATACTGACACTGGAAAAAGGGTTGTTTTTTTCTACCCCCCCCCCAACACAACACAAACAGGACCAGGGAGGAGGATGACGAGGCAAATAAATACACATACCTTTCAACTGGTCAGCAACAATGCTCTGACCGAGGCGTTCAGTAACTTTCCCATCTTCCATGTCGTACCGATCATCTAGGTATTTTGCAGTGGCCTCTGAAATGTGAACCTTGCCAGCCACTCCCAGCTGCTCCATGAGATTGGCCAAGTTCACATCATTGGACCATACATCAAATTTAAATCTCCTCATGCCCAAGATACCACACAAGACGGTCCCCGTGTGAACCCCCACGCGCATGTTCACCATCTCTTTCTTCTCTTGGCAGAACTGCTCAATGGCTCTTATCATGCCCAAGCCCATTTCGATGCAGCAGTAGGCATGGTCGGCCCGGGGCTCAGGACACCCTGCCACACAATAGTAACAATCTCCCAGGGTGCTGATCTTCTCACACTTGGTCTCTTCGCACAATCGGTCAAAGCGACCAAACAGATCGTTGAGGAGACCCACCAGGGCATGAGCAGATTTGTTGGCACTCATCCTGGTGAAGCCCACGATATCTGCAAATAAAATACTGACTTCTTCCATCTGCTGCATCTTAAATGGGCGGAATGCTATGGGCGCTTTCTGCATGGAAGATTTTTTCTTCCTGTTCTTGGGGCTGGAGGTGGCATGCTTTTTGACAGAATTCTCACTCTCCTCATCCCCCTGCTTCATTAAGTCGTCAGCTATTATTCTAGGCATTACAGAATGAATCATCCTCTCTTTCAGGGCTTTCTCCACTTCCAGATCCTTCCCATGCATAATTGACTGTCCCACCTTGAGGAAGGTGCTCCTGGATCTCACCTGGGACATGATGAACAGGTGGATCCCGATGGCATGAACGCAGACGTGGAGCAGGGCTCGGCTCAGCAGCTCCCAGTGAGGGGCCCCTGTGCCAGGCGAAGGAAAACGGTCTTTGTCTTGGAAATGATAGCCAAAGGTCTCAAAGAGAACAGAGTAGGCCACTCCCAAAAACAAGCTCAAGTACAAAGGTAAGTGCATGACGGTGTAGAGCAAAAAGAGCACTTCGATGCACATGGAAAAGCTCCCCACTTGGGATAAGCAAGCGTCTGTGGGTTTGGCGGAGGGAGTATGATTGGAGCTGTCGCCGCGTCCTGAGAGCGGCGTCAAAACCTGGAAGCGGGCGGCCAGGGTCAGGGCGAACACCAGGAGGGTGAGAACCAGCGAGGTCCACTCGTAGTGCCGGGCATAGAGCTTGGTGAAGGTAAACAGAAAAAAGCCCGCACACACCGCGAGGAAGCACAGTGCGGGGGCTGCCATGACAATCAGTTTGGCTCTCATGTGGACCCCGAAATAGACGCTCCACAGAAGGCAGGCGACGCCGATGTAGAAGAGCGCATACCGGAAGCGGCGCCGCGTCTGCGGGAAGCAGCGCTCCATGCAAGCCTCCTCCAGGTTCACCGAGTCGAACCTGGGGTTCCACCAGCGGCTGGAGGCTCTCTCGAACAGCTGGGGCAGCCTCTTCTGCCGGCGCAGGCGGCCTCCCGCGCCCACTCTCCGGGGCAGCGCCCCCGAGTCCCCGGAGCTGCTGCAGCTGGAGATGCTGTACTTGCAGAGTTTGGGGTGGCTGCTGGAGGACCGCGGCTTGGGGTGGATCCTGACCCTCACGCTGTTGCTGTCCCCGCTGGAGTCACAGCTCGCCTCGGTGCTGTGGTGCCGCAGCAGCTGCTGGTGGGGCGGGGAAGCCATGTTGTCGCGCGTTCGGAGCCCTCCCCGGCCCGGGTCACGGGAACCTGTCAGCGAGACCACCTGGGTCACACCGGGACTCGTTCCCACGCCCGCCCACCGCCCGAAGGCCACGAGCCCTGCCAGCGTCCCAAGGGGTGGCCCGACCGTCTACTGGGAAGGGCGCCCTTTGCTCCCCAAACCTGTGGGAAGCCTCGGATCAGCGATTCCCCTCCCACCTCGGGGCCGCCCTCCGCGCCGGGCCGGCCGGGGCACGCGGGTTCCCGAGGCGGCGGCCCCCAGCCCGCGTGCGTCCCCTGCGCGCGCACTCGCCTGCTCCGACCGCCGCGGCTACGAGGGGAGGTCGGGTCCCGAGCCCTCTCACGCCGCCGGCCGCCCGCGCAGACGCAGCCCTCCCGGCGGAGGCGGCGGCGGCGGCGGCGGCGGGCTCCTCATGCTGCTTGCGCACCGCGGAGCTTCCACTGCGTCAGAGCCGGCGGCCGGACCCCTCGGCCCCCGCCCGCGCCCCGGGCTCGGCCGCCCTGCGGGTGGCGAAGGGCCAGCGGCCAGGGGCGCGCGGCGAGGCCCGGCGTCCGACGGCTAGGTTGCGGAGCCGGGCGCCGCGGCCGCCCCCGTCGTCGCAGCCCGTCCAGCGGGGCCTGCTCCCGGCCTCGGCCGACCCGCGGGCGGGCGTGCCCAGGGCCCGGAGCCGCCGAGCGCAGGGCGCGGCGGGCGCCTCAGCCCGCGGCCCCTCAGCCGGGGGCCCGTGCGCGCCGCTGCCGCAGAGCCCGCTCGCGAGATGCCGACCCGGGACGCCCGCCCACGCTTGGGGCGGCCTCCGGAGCTAGAGGTGCCGCCGCGGCCGCGGCCGCCGCCGGGTCCCCCGCTGCCGCTGCCTCATGCCTGAAGAGCAGCCTCAGCCGCCGCCGCCACCATCTCCAGCCCCCTCCCCCTCCCGCTGTCACTGACAGACTCGCTCGCGCGCCGCCCCTCGCCCCGCCGCAGCGCGCACGCGCGGCCCGCGCACGCCGCCGCCGGCCCCCGCAGGCACGCCCACGGTGCGCGCGCCGGGCTGGTGGGGCAGCGGGGCGGGGGCGGGCGCTGCGGCTCCGCCTTCTGCGGACGCTTTTGGGCTGCGGGGTTAGGGGAGTCTCCGGATCTGGGGGGCTGGAGTTGCGGGGGAGCTGCAGGGGCTGCAACCTTTGCGGAAGCTCGGGAGCCCCCAAACCTGTTCGGGGAAACCCAAGGGAGCCTGCTGATTAAGGAGCCGCTGGGGTGCGACTTTTAGGAGAGGAAAATGTTTACCCTCCTCCTCAGTCCCCCTTTCTTATAAAATGGAAGTTTGCAACTATTATATTTTCCTGAAAGGTGGCGCCTCTTTCTGAATAAGCAATGAGTACGCGTCCCCTGGGGCACTAGCCCCTCCCTGACTGTGCCTGTCTGGGCAACCACCACAGCCTGAGCCCCAACTTGCCGTGGCGGGCGGCCAGGTCTTAAGGAAACCGTGGTTGGCCCTAAAAAGATGAGACACTGGGAACTACCTCCTCTAGCCCCCGAGTTTCCCTTCCCATCCGTGGGTCATCTCTCCCTAGTTAGGAACAGCCGGTTTTCCCTTTCCACAAATGAAACTTGCAAAGGAGTCTGCTATCCACAGGGCAATCCTGCACAGGCCCCGGTAAGGGTTGTCTGCCCGGTGGACCAATCCCTGCCCTTCTCCCCGTACTTCGCCCTCCTCCTGTCAGTTACAGGGGTCTTCTTCCTCCTTCCCTCACCTCTGTGCCAAGCCCCAGGGCCCACACCAGGCTTCACTGTTGAATCAGGAAATAAAATGTGGCCTGCCCACATAGTGGAAGATTATCCAGCCATAAAAAGGGATGAAACACTCCTAAGAGAAATTAAAGAGGACACTGACAAATGGAAACTCATCCCATGCTCCTGGCCAGGAAGAACTGATACTGTCAAAATGGCCATCCTGCCTAAAGCAATCTACAGATTCAGTGCAATCCCTATCAAAATACCAACAGCATTCTTCAACGAACTGGAACAAATAGTTTTAAAATTCATATGGAACCACAAAAGACCCCGAATAGCCAAAGCAATCCTGAGAAGGAAGAATAAAGTGTGGGGGGTGGGGATCTCGCTTCCCAACTTCAAGCTCTACTACAAAGCCACAGTAATCAAGACAGTTTGGTACTGGCACAAGAACAGAGCTACAGACCAGTGGAAAAGAATAGACTCCAGACATTAACCCAAACATATATGGTCAATTAATATACAATAAAGGAGCCATGGACATACAATGGGGAAATGACAGCCTTTTCAACAGCTGGTGTTGACAAAACTGGACAGCTACATGTAAGAGAATGAAACTGTATCATTGTCTAACCCC